ATGGAGAAATTGTAATAGTGCTTTCTTGAATCGATTTTTGTTTTTGGATATATGTTTTAGATCATGTAGTGTCTTACTCTTATTTAAGATATCTGGAAAGAGGCCATCAAGTTAAGGGGTAATGGGTAAAATTGTGCATTTTTATTGCAGCTGTGGACTAAAAACATTGCTGTAGGAATGCATTTTCACATACAACATAGATGAAGGTAAAATCATCCCTGTGCTTAATTAATTATGCACCACACTGTGAAGACATATGGGGAAGTGGAGGTATAGCTTCACCATTCTTAACCTATGCACTAGAGAGAAGGCAGCAGTCAGCTTCATGCCCTGACCACTTTAGCCCGATGGAAACAGCCCCCAGTACCCATTGTATAGGAAGATGGGTGGGCCTCAGATCTGGTCTGGATGCTATACCAAAAAGTGAAATCTCTTGCACCTACTGCAAATCAAACCTCAACACCTATCATCCAACCCATAACCTAATCATGATACTCCCCATATAACATGTTTTTTTTTCTTCTTTCATTGATTTCCATATAACATGGAAGTGAAGGGAAAAATATAGTTGTGCATTACAGAATTTCACAGTACAAACACATGTACTCCATAATGTTGCAGTGTACTGTTTGTGAGTTTTGTGGATACAAAGTCTAGAGTAACAGTCAGTGGCAACTTATCAATCAGTATAACTGATATTTGTTGTTTAACAAAGTATGAGCAGATACTAAATTTGGTTAGGAAAATTCTGCAGTTGTGTGAGGTGTGTGAATTAGACTGAGAAAGTAGAGCCATAATTAGACATTGTGGGACCCAGAATCAAATACATTCTCAGATCTTAAATGTTGCAACCATTGCTAACAATTGTAAAACATAATTCTACTTTTGTACCGTATATAAATAGTAAGAAAAACTTTCATAGTCTGTAACCAGCCAAATGGTGGGACAGAGATGAATAGCTTAAAGAGAACTTAAAGAACAAGGATGTGATACTGTACTGCCTGGACAGGTGATGCTGACACATGGGTATTGTGTGATGATTGGTCAGGTAAACCTGAAGAAACTGGGAGAAAAAGCTGCTTCAGCGCCTCTTCAACAACCACAAAGCTCACATGATGTTACTGAACAGAAATAACATGAAATACAATCTGAGGATCTAACTAGAGCCTTTGCAAAGTGAAAGCTATCTTGTCTATTCCGACTTCCAGATATTTTCTACCTGAATCTGATCCTCTTTGTAATATAGGTGTTCTTCACTACTACAAACATGAACTTTGTTCTTAGCAAAACACTTCATGTCACATAGATGAGCTTCACCCTGCATTCTACAATTTTGTATAGAATGTAGTTCCTTTTCTCAGTTTTGGTTGGATATTCAATTATACAGTCAACTGTGACGTCTATAAATTTACATTACCCTTTCATCACACCTTTCATGTGTGAATCAGTGTCACTTAAAAAAATCCTTCACCATTAAGCTGTCTCTTAAGCACTTTGTGCACAAGATTTGTGCTGTACAACTATATTTTTATTGGTTTAGAATTTATGTAACGAATTGCCATAGAGTCTGGCAGATAGGTACCAACATTTTGAAGGACCTGCTGTTTCTGCCTTCAAAGCAGGAAAGTAAGCCAAGTGTGGAAAAAATATTATGGATAAAGGGAGAGGGCAGATGGAGACCAAGGCCATGGGAAACCAAAAGAAGTGAAGACAAATCGTCCTTCCTAATGTCAACACAATGTTTTCCACCCTGGCTTACTCTTCTACACTGAAGAAGGATGTGGCATGTTCCTCAGAAGCATTCATAAGTATCTAATGGACTACACAGCATCACATCCCAGAAGACAGTAATATTCGTAGTCACCACCATGAGAAACTCAGATCTCATATGTATATTTTTTATTCAAGTCTGCTTTTATTTCAAGTACTTAGAATTGTTTAGGCCATTTAATGCGTATTTAGCAATTATATCAGTATAGTATGAAAACAGAAATATTAGAATTATAAAGTCGCTTTATAGGGTATTTGAAATGTAACATTTATTTTCGTTTTATTTGCTATCCCAAAATGGTAAGTTATCAGAAGTTTAGAAAGACCGGAATTACAGTATTTGACTAGCTAAGTCAACACATGTGTCATGATGGCATGTTAACAATAAACACATGTATTATTCTGGATATTGCCCATTGTCTATTTTTTTTTCAAACAGTGTATCCTATTCAGTTGGGCCCATTAGAACAAGTTATTCTTGATCCCTGGGCACTGAAAGAAGTTTTGAGGAGAACATACATATTCTACCCAACTGTGTAGAGATATATTCTCCTTACATCTGGTGACAGAAGCAGCTCCAGTTTCCAAAATATAATGTGAGAGAAGTCAAGATGATGGGTGATATCCAAAATAAGTCATGTCTACAATATGTGACTAGTTTATTTCTTCACCTTTAAGTCATCAGTGTGAAAGCACACACTGATTGATACCACATCATGGTAGGAATTGGATAAAAATCTGAAAAAAAAAATGCTTCATTTGCTATGTAGTGCCACATGGTATACCTTTTGAGAAATGTCTCATGAAACTTCTAATTTAATGCCATTGAAGATAGCAGCATAAATGACACATTGGCGATTGAAATGTAAAGGAAGGAATTCAAACAATATGAAGTTCCATCAAGGCCTCTTTAGTGATAATATCTGATCACTAACATAGAGAGAGATAAGGAAGACCCATGAACAAATGTAATATCGGTATGAAGTCAATTATGAAAACTCTGATGGGGACAATACATGCACTATACTTGGGTCAGCAAAAGAATAAATACAGAATTTCCCTTACCTTTTACCTAGCAGCTTCATTCCCTAGCCTGCCTTCCCCCACTCCCACTGCTGTCACATATTATTGCTCTCTCTCTCTCAGGGCATGCGGTAGCGTAGTTGGTTGAGGCACTATGCTACAAGCTGGAAGGTCACAGGTTCAAGTCCCGATAAGGTCACTGGATTTCTTTCAATTGACCTAATCCTTCCAGCCATACTATGGCCCTGTGGTCAACTCAGCCTCTAACAGAAATGAGTACCAGGAATATTCTTGGAATATTCTTGGGGGTAAAGGGCAGCCGGTGCGTAGGGCTGACAACCTTGCCGCCATCTATGAGCCGATTGTCTAGAAAATGTGGGAACCTCAACATCTCACAACCCTATGGTCCTCCATGGCCTGTTACAGGGATACATTTCCTATTTTTTTACTCTCTCTCTCTCTCTCTGCATTCTCTATATGCTATTGGTGCCAAAAGAGGGTAGTGTGCGTTGTAGGTAGCATGGAGAAGCCAGTTTAAGCTCCTATCACTTGTGTTCATTCTATGTCTCACAGAAGTATGGTATGGAAACTGAAGGCAGAAACCCAAACTACTAAGGCTAAGAAGAAGCAAAGACTACAAATATGTGTGTGAATTCATGCATTGATAAAGTACTGTTGTGACTGTTTTGAGAGCTTATAGATATATCAGTAAAATATAGAAAGTCTCTGAATATGGCTTTCTAAATCATTACCTACTCACTATCTGTGACTGAACAGTGAACACTTATTTTTCACATTTGACTCAATTTCATAAATACATATACAGAAAATGCTGAGGCTGTTTTTTATTAAAAATAATCTTACACATAAATAACAGGTCCATATCATCAGACATTGATGAAATGAACACACAATTCTGTACATTATTTAATTTTAATCTAATTTGATTATAATAGACAAGTGTTTTAACACTGGCAAACAAATGTTCCTACTATAATTTATTTCTGTTTATATGTTCTTAAAACAATAATGCTCTGTAACAGTTTTTCAGATTATGCTATAATTTATTTACCCATATTAATTATTGTTTTACATTTTCACTCCACTTGAATCCTTACATTAATGTTACTAAATGCTTATTGGACTGACATTTACTATTTTGACTTACACCAACACAAGTTTGCAATATTCTTTTTCTGAGTCTCATATTGTTCATTCTATTTGTGACATTTAGCCTTTACTTCTAAAGATACTGTTTTTTTAATGATAAACTATCATCACATTACAACACTCTTTGCATACTGTACTTAAATATTTAACTTTATTTATATTGTTTCATAAAATGCAGATGGCAGACATCAATGTAGCTTCTTTTTGTCAAACTTTGTTTAAAGCTGTTCAAAAGAACTAAAATGTCAAGATGAATTTGATCATTTGTTTTGCAGCCAGTGCCTTATGAACCAGTTACATAACACTGTTGCATTAGTTTGAAACATTTTTAATGGCTGGTATTTAATCTGAAATTACTAAACAATCTTCTTAGAGATAAAACCTAGCAAATATGAGAGAAACAACATGAAAAATTTTACACAAAATTTCAGATTAGACTTATAACTCTCAACCTTATGTAAAGAATTTTAGACATGGGGAACTAAGAGGGATGTTTTGGGTTTGCCAGAAGAAAGTGAAAGAGGTCCTTTCATATCTCACTCACATTCAAACTCTGGGTGGAATTGTGTAATGTGACTAACTTAAAACAGTTTGGATCATACTGCCATGACACAGAAACTCTGTTACAAACTCAGTTGGTACAACTTTCAATATATTCACTGCTTTGTGATCACAATCGTAAAACTTAGTCTCCAGCGGGCTGTTGCTGGTAACTATCCAGTATAGACTTGAACTGTCTTTTCTTAGTCATCATGTTTAATGTTGCTGGTAATTTGTAGAATGGTTTGTCTTAACAATGCATTGGAATTAAATTTTAATTGAAGGCTTTTACTGTGGTTTCAGGACAGATAATCTTCACAGTTAGTAGTAATGGGTTTAGCCTGTTTATCCATGTTTCACAGTTTAGGATAAATAAGCCAAAAGCAAGAATCAGATCAATAAAAAGTGGTCTGTTCATAATTTAATAACTGAATACAAACTTCAGTTTATTTTTATCTTATTATATTTGCAGCTCTTATTTACAAATGGTTCATTCCTTATAAGAAAATAATATTCTCACTAACATAAGTAGTTAAATGATGATGATGGTGATGGTGATAAAAAGTAATGCGATTTTCTTTAACAAGCTCACATTTGCTGAGTGCTTGTGTTTGTATATTTACACATAAAGCCAGTGCCTGCAACGGAACCGGCTGACATTGTGGGTCTGCTGAATGCTCTCATGTTCCTCTGGAGGCGTAATGTTGATTGCAATCCTCTGAAATATAAGAAGCAAAAGCTGTCAGATTTCAACATGAAAATAATCCGAAGTATAACATTTTGGTATAAGTTTGACAAAATTTTGTGTGTAACTTTTTGCTGATGATATAATAAACTCCACTCTTGTCTTGATTGTCTTTGGTGAGAATTTCTTTGCTTATATTTGGACTTAATATTATAAAAATCAAATCCCTCAAATTACTTTGACATGAATTAATCTTACAGTCAGAGTTTCATTTTCAATGAATCTGAAAATACTTCAACAGCAATTATCTATTTATCACTAAGTATTGTTCTTTGTATATATTTTTATAATCTTCTGCTTTCTTCCTGGTCTAACAACATCATATGAAAATATGACATCCTATTTCCTTTTCATTTATAATATTAAACAACCAAAGAGCAAAGAGGCACTGTAATTACAGTATGTTTAAAATGTAGCTTCCATACAGGCAATTCTCTAAGGTTTTTTAAATGATGTAATCCTTACTGTGAAGCATAATGTGACATATGGGCCATTTCTATGAGACGAATGTGGAAACACGTTGCCACAAAGAGACTGATTCCTGGACACCAACTGATTATGAAACATGGTTTCCATGGATATAGAAACTGAAAATTGTAAAGACTTAGAAAACCAAACCATTGCTTGGGAATTAAAATATGATTCCCATGACAACACAACAGAACAGATGAACCATATGACATGGTGACTTCTATCCCAGCTGCGTGGCAGTTATAAAAGGAGCTGACTCATGCATTCAGTTGTAGTAGAGACCAGTCCAAGATTCAGGCAGCAGTGAGAGATTCTTCTGGTGACATTCATCAGACAGATGTTCAGAAGGAGTTCAATGTGTGAGCTGTTATAAGTGACTGTAATTGTAAGGAAGTGCCAATAAACCCAATCATCGAATCCAGGACCCATTATTATTAGTCACGACAATTCCTTACACCTGACAACATAGAAACAGCGATGAACATTAGAATAAATAGCAGAGAGCAGATTGAGTATAACAGAGTGGACCAGCACTAATAGCCTATGTCAGACACTGTCCCCACCTACTCCAGCAGAGGAAAGCCAGCAGAATGTTGATTTCTTGGATCTCATCCAAGGTCCTTCTAAATACATGTATACATCGGAGTAAACAAAGTGGACACATGCTAACCTCTTTGAACGTGCCAGGTGTTTGTATGATACTGATGACGGCAACAAGAGGAATCATTAGGATGGATGAAAGAGCCAGAGTCCAACCGATCCATTCAGCCCAGCTGGGGTAGTTGTACTCCATGTACTTGAGGGGCTGTTGGTAGAGCAGTCCAAACATCACCACTCCCTGAAAATAAGAAAAGTGCATCTGATTTATTGTTTGTTTCTCATGCAATTAATCACCTTTATTCCAAATTGCAGAGAATTCCCCATTTAAAGTTTGCATTGAGAACCTTAAACTGAAATATTTTAAATGGATAGGTTATAAATAGTAAAAAATTTAAGTTGTCTCTGTTCTTAATTAATTACTACACCTTGAATATGTATGGGGGAGTGGATGTTAGATGATATGTTCTTGACCTAAGCACTAATTGGAGGTTGAATGATCAGCTTCATGCCCTGACCGCTTTATCCCCTGGAATAGAGCCCCCAGTACCCATTGGAGAGGAGGTTGGGTGGACCACAGAACTAGTCTGGATGATGAGAAGAGGAGAAAGATCTTACCCCTACTGGGTCTCAAACTCTGACCCTCAGTCATCCAGCCCATGGCCAGTCGCTATACCGACTGTGCTATCCCAGCTCCAAATGGGGGGTTGTTGAATTCATACACAGTATGACACTGCATTGTTAATTACAAATATTTCCTTTACTCTAACAAAACATTGGCACATGTATATCACATAAGTCTAAAAACAACAGAAAACATTGTATGATGTGCTGCCTAACTGCATAATGATTGTTACTTAAAGGCAATTTCTTTCTTTTTCTGCACATATTTTAGTTTTTAAAATGGATATATAATGTGTGTAAAGTATTTATGTAGTTAAATGCAAATTACGAATTTCAACACAGAAAACTTGAGCGAGGCTGAAATTACCCCTAAAACCATCCTGAGTACACAGACATGTAACATTGGTTTGTTTCTTCTACTCATTCCTCCTGCATGTATCACTTAAGGTCAACATGATGACATGCACACCTCAAGGTATCTTTGAGCAAACAGCAATAGCACATAAACACTGCATTTATCTGAATGGAAGATGATCTCACAAATAAAAAATGTACAAGTATCTACACATAAAATGTGATTCAGTGTACTGATTTCGTACAGTTGTTACAAACATATGAAAGACACTAAATATTTTAAAACTTGTTACATATTAATTTCTTACTCCTCGCACTTACATCCTTCATCATTCCCAGCTTCACAATGTTTGTCGTAACAGCCATTTGTGGAGGAATTACAGCTTTTGTTTCATAGCTGGTTTTCTTTTGGAAAACTGTCATTGCTCATGGCTCCTGACCTTGAAACACATTTATTTCTATCTCACTTCCTTTCACAGTTGCTATGCTGTTTGCAAGACGGGGCATGAATATTAGTGTTTACTGCATCTTAGAAACATCAACCTATTAAAAGCTTTGAAAACAATCATTATCTATTGTCACATGATCGAGTGGTTATAGACGGAGTTTTGGATTGGTAATTGGATTTATTTGACACTTTAACACAACTCACTACACACTCCAGATCACTATCACACAAAGTCTGGTGTTCTCAGTCTTGGTCTTCACTGCTCTGCTTGGCAGTGGCTTCCAACAGTGGACGTTCCTCTGCTCCTAGGCCGATGTCCTCACAGGCTGGTGGCCATCTCACACGTCTAATTGCCATCTCAAGACTCTCTCTCATGCCACAGTATTTTAAATAGGAACAGTGAGACACAAATTTTGAAGCTAATTGGGCTAGTCATTAGGCATTTCACCCATGCAAAGAAGAAAATGCGTTTTTGTTATATAGTTTATTCAAATGCTTACTATAATAAAAGTTGGACTAATAAATTTCCAGCAGATCCGCCAGTACATCCCTGGTTTTTTCCCCAACATGGCTTGTACATCTTCTGAAAATCGCTCCAGGCCTATGTAAGTGATGAAAAAAAAAGCATTAAGCATTCTAAAGTAAAAGTGCACTGTAAATTACATGAGCTATGCTGTACAATAAATACTGCATTTTATGTTTGTTTCTACATGTTTTGCTTTTGTACTAAGTAGAACGCATATGAGGTTATGCTGTAGTTAACCAGGATTTGCCTGATGTAACTGATGAAAACCATACTGTAACCTTGTCAAGACAGCTTCAGGTCCACTGGACCTTTGCATAATTCATCCAAGCAGGGTTGTGTTTGTTGTAATGTTTGTCATTATGTTGTTTTCATGGAAACCAAATGCAAATTCAATCTCAGTTAATTACAACTGAGACTTGAGTATGACAGCAATTGTCAAGTGGGTCCCTTATCACCATGGCATGGCACATCCTCAGGTTGTGAATGCAGGAGCATAACTCCAGATGTTGATGGTAGCGGCAAATATACTGAATAAGCAGTTGCAGATATCTGACAATGGGTGGTCTTCAAGCTTTGGGGTTGGGCATGGGACTAACAGTTCCTTTCCATGAAAAACAGTTTCTTACAAAATATTATGTAGGATGGACTGGATACGTCTGGCTTAGGACAGGGACCAGTATTAGGCTCTTGTGTATATGGTAATGAAACTCTGGGTTCCTTAAAATATTGGGAAATTCTTGAGTTGCTGTGAAACCAGAGGCTTCTCAATATGGAATCAACTCTATGGAGTCAGTTAATAAGTTAGTCTGTTAGATGAAAGCAATAAATGGAGGTGTTTCAATCTGTATTACAGTGCTGTCAGGCAGTATGGTAGTGTGAAGACAACACCACATGCTGCTAGGGGGAACAACACAGAAGCAAGGGACAAAATTACAGATTGCAACAACAGACTTACGAAGAGAAAAACAGGCTGCCGCAATAAAACATCTGAAGTAAAGTACACAAATCAAAACAAGTGGAATGCCTCTTGTAAGGTGTAATAAGAAAACAAAATTTGAAGGAAATTTTAATAAAAAGTGTTAACAGAGTTTATTGATTTAGATTAAATGAACTACAGTGTGTGCTATTTTAGCACATAACAATTGACTACATGTATGATGTTTTAAATCATGAAGCATGCAGTTGCATATGCAACAAAAAGAAGGTATTAGTGTAGTGTAGCAGTTTTAGCATAGTGAGACACCTCACGATGCCCTTTAGGGCTGAAACTTGTCGTGTCAAAACTGAAAGTATAAGAGAGAAAACAATTTGTTGCATTGTTGACGAACTGTGTAGTACAATAAACAGTATTAGATTTGTCTGATAATTTTCCTGTCCAGAATGGTCTAATACAAGGAGATGCTTTATCGCCACTGCTTTTCAACTTTTCTTTAGAATATTCCATTAGGAAGGTCCAAGAAAACTAGGTGGGACTGAAATTAAATGGGACACATCAGCTGTTCTATGTTGATGATGTGACTCTACTGGGTGATAAACTAGATACCATAAAAAGAAACACAAACTTTAATTGACGCTAGTAAGGAGGTTGGTCTAGAAGTAAACAGAGAGAGAACTTAGTATATGTTGCTATCTTGTCACCAAAATGCAGGACAAAATCATGACATAAAAATAGGTAAAAATGTTTTTAAAATGTGGCACAGTTTAGACATTTTGAAACGACTATAACAAATCAAAACCTGATTCAGGAGGAAATTACCATTCAGTTCAGAACCTTTTGTCTTATTGTCTGCTGTCTAAAAACATAAAAATTAGAATATACAAAATTATAATTTTGCCAGTGGTTCTGTATGGGTTTGAAACCTGGTCTCTGACTTTAAGGGTGGAACATAGACTGAGGGTTTGTGGGAAGAGGGCGCTGAGGATAATATTTGGACCAAAGAGGGATGAAGTGACAGGAGGTTGGAGAAAATTGCATAATGAGGAGCTTTATAACTTGTACTCTTCTCCAAGTATAATTACAATGGTCGAGTCAATGAGGATGAGGTGGGCAAGGCACGTAGCACGAATGGGGGAGAGGAGGAATGCATATAGGATATTGGTGGGTAAGCTGGAAGGATGGAGACCACTAGGAAGATCAATACGTATGTGGGTGGACAATATTAAAATGGATCTTAGGGGCATAGGATGGGATGGTATGGATTGGATTGATCTGACTCAGGATAGGGACCAGTGGAGGGCTCTTGTGAACATGGTAATGAACTTTTGGGTTCATTCATTTTGGTAGGTTCTTGAGTAGCTGCACAATTGGCATCTACTTAGGAAGGGCTCAGTTCCGTGAGAGAGTGAATAAGACGGGGGNATTTCAGTGACCTCCATGTCTGTAATGTATACAGATGGATAGATGGAAAGGTTACACATATGTGGAAACCACAGCTACAGATGGTAATTGTCAGATGTTACCATTGAATTTTGAATGGGCTCTCCACTAGTATCATAATAGAAATGAGTTAAGTTACTTGACAAAATCTCAGCTACATGTGAGAATGATTATGTAGCAGTGGTGAATCAGATTTCAGGAAAATGGCAGTTTTAACATACTTTGTTGGATTATTCTAAAATTGTCAGGAGAGGCTGAGAGAAACCAAAAAAAATATAAATTTTTGTAAGTCATCTTATAGGACTGGGGGGTACGCGGTAGCATAGTTGGTTGAGGGACTATGCTACAAGCCAGAAGGTCACGGGTTCAAGTCCCGATGAGGTCACTGGATTCTTTTCAATTTACCTAATCCTTCCAGCCGCACTATGGCCCTGGGGTTGACTCAGCCTCTAACAGAAATTAGTACCAGGAATTAATTAAATAATTTTCCTGGGGAGTAAAGCACGGCTTGCCGGTGTGTAAGGCTGACAACCTTACCGCCATCTATGAGCCGATTGTCTAGATAATGTGGGACAACCCTGTGGGCCTTCATGGCCTGTTACAGGGATAGCTTTACTTTACTTTTACCTTATAGGGCCGAATGTAGTTTTTCTGATTCTGTGCTGGATGTTTGTTGAAATGATATTATGAAAGAACGAAGCAATTAAGCTAGGTTATCATACTGCCTAACTTACCATAAAACCAAGATACTGCAATGGCTTCAAAGAGGGCAGAGCACAGAAGTGAGATGCCAGCTGAGTATGTGTCAAATAAATGGAACATGTAGATACCACCCTGTGATGAAGAAGACACAAGTAACTTGTTAGCATCTTGGAAATATTCTTAGTATACAGAAAAATCAAACACTGACTGTGTGAGAATACTAAGGGTACATAAAGTGGGATATATTGATCATGTGTTTGTTCTTGCCCTTTATTCAATCTTCATAATTTCAGTTGTAGATTGTGAAAACAGATAATTAATGTCAGATGTGAGATGCACAGGGCTGTGACTTCTGAAATATGATGGCATGTATTCTGGTAGAGAATCGCAAATGTTTCCAAGGAATCTGCCACCTTCATCTTCAGGGTATAAGAGTAAGCTCATTGCTGAAAAAAAAACTGCATGGATACAGGTAAAAGTAATGCTTACACCTTTTTCTCAATCTCTGTACCCTTGAAGAAAATCCTTCAAAGAGCCACTGTTTCCCTGACTCCCCTCTCCTTCCTGTTAGTTCAGTCAGAAACATTAATTCTACCAAGTGGATAATTTTCAGTCCAGTGTGACATTCAAGTTTACAACATTTCTTATTCACTTTACATGTTTTGATTGAAAAGAATCATCCTCAGAGGCGCACTGCTATGATCAGGAAACACTGTCACATAAGATGTTTTAAAAATATGCACCTAAGCTATGAGTAATGCTCACTGTATAAATGTTGTTACTATCACAATTAGTTTTAATGTTTGTATTAGATATTCATTATAACGCTTCTTGAAGTGTAGATTTACGTATGATGCTGTTTCTTTTAAGCATATTTGTTGGGTATTCTGATTGAGATTTTCCACTGCACGCGATATGATGTTCACTTTTCCATACAGTAGCCTCCCAGTATATTTAAAATTGTATTAAAATTTTCTTTTGTATGTAAAAAATTAGTTATTATGTTAAAATATCGTGAGCCAACATTGGGTCATGTTGTTTTCCTCCTGATGGTGGGAGATGTCATTTATTTCTCTTGATTGTATGTTCTTATTATTAGTCGTGTAGTTTACATGCATGCTGTGTCATTTGTACTGTTTTGAATAGTGCACTATTCAAAACAGTACATCTGGGGCTCATGACCAGATATTTATTACTGTTTGACAGTTATGGTCTTGTTATCGTGGGATGCCCTCTCTGACGAGAGGTCAGGTCTGTCTTTTGTATATGCTGCTGGCCTTTGCCAGGGCAATCTTTCTCAGGTCTGAGTCCCTTGGAACTGCAATAATTCGAAGTCAAAGTCAAAGTAACATGGCGACTGACAGTCAGTCAGTCAGTAAGACTTGGTGTCAAGCCCCATCTGGGGTCATGACCAGATATTTATTACTGTTTGACAGTTATGGTCTTGTATTTTGTGGGGCGCCCTCACTGATGAGAGGATGTGTCTGTCTCTCTCTTCTATATGCTGCTGGGTCTTGCCAGCACAGTCTTTCTCAGGTCCAAGTACCTTGATACTCACAATCATATTTTACTGTCTCAGATTTTAGTCTTCTGTTTTCATCACCTCCTACGACTTGCAGGGTAACAGTGGAGGAAATCGACCCCACCTCCACACGGGTTTGCACTAATTTAACTCAATCAGTCAAGTGATATCTCCTTGGAGCGGTTCCATAGAAACCACCACTTTCAACAGTACTTCCATTGTTGTGTGCGGGCCGCTACCTAGCAACGGTTTTGTAATTTTGCATATTTACAAAGTTGTTGCCTAGCAATGACCGTTGTCTCGTTTCACGGTCGTTGCCAAGCAGTGGATCTATATGCCAAAATATAAATACAGTGAACACTTGAACTTTGAACTTTTTGGTGTTCAGAACTCAAAACTTGAACAAAAACTTGAAAGCAGAATAAAGAATCACATGGTCGTCACACCTTGTAGACAAGTGGCGCCTAATATCATAGTTGCGAACAGGAGTATCAACCTATTTAATGACAATGTAATGGAACATTTCAGAAACATTTTGAAAAATAGACAAAAACAAATGACATTATACAGGCTTCTCCCCAAAGAAAAATCAAGCGGTGGTAATGTTAATGAACCACAACTCTCAGCTAATCGATTCCAGATGAAAGAAGGGTAATCCACCTCCCAGTGAACAGTAATATCCCTCATACAATTATTATTGATTGATTATTACACAATATTTTATTGTATGTACTGTTATAAATAAAGACATTAAATTATTGTAATTAAATATACTTGTTTTATCATTATTTACCAATATGATCTTTGAAATAAGCATTTAAAATGTTTTATATTGGGTAAATTTTGGGGGTCTGGAACGGTTGATTCACTTTACATTATTTCAAATGGGCAAATTTAACTCAAAGTCAAACAACTTGAAAGTCGAACCTTCTCCTGGAGAAGATTGTGTTCGAAGTTTGAGGTTCCACTGTAACTAGATTTCTCTTCTCATACATTAGGGGAAAACGAGAATGGATACAATTTTCTAGCATCTTATGAACCTCAAAAGTTCATTACAATGCTCACAAGAGCCTGTGACTGTTATAGGGAAAGAGTTGGAAATGATATCTTAAGAGAGGACAGAATTAGAAGAGAAATAATGACAATTGTTTGGCCATGTAAAAAGAATGGACAGAACAAGGATACCAAGAAAAACATTAGAGTTAGAATTTAAAGGAAAATGACCTATGGAATGACCCAGAACAAGATGGCTCTACCAGGAACTGGAAGATATCTAAAAGGGTATAAGATGGAAAGAAATCGAAAATAAAAGATTTTGGGAAGAAAGGAGAGATAGGAAATTTTCGTCCTGCAAGTTGTATGAAATAAATAATATCAGAAAAAGATAAAGAAGATTTTTCGCATGTAAATTACAGCGCTAACAAAACTATTCCGATTTTTGTTTTAGATAAGTCAGTCATATTTATATCCAGATTTCATTAAGCTTCAGTTTGATTTTTATAAAACTGTCGTGAAAATGTTCTGAATTTTTGTGTAAATTACTTCACCTACAAATTAGCTATAATTATTTTGTTTAATTTCTTTTATCAACATTTGAAACATTTATTTTATTGTGAATCTCTAAGTGTCCTAAATGTCATTTCCTCTATTATGCATTGAATTATACTGAGTAGAAATATAATGCAGATCGTATACTCGTATATGGGTCCCAAGGTATGTTGCTATTAATGTATGCATACATAGAAAAAACAAAAATGAGAAATAGTTAACCAAAGTTTAAGAAGCAGTTTGACATTGTGTAGCTTACCAATAATTGTGTAGAATACCCCACATGCATATCTATGACAGCTCTTTCCAAAATACCCTTAAATTATCAAGCTTCAGCCTCCAGGAATCAAACTTCTGCATGTAATTAAATTGGCTTGCAATTAACTAAATTTTATTTTATTTAAATGTTTTTTCAGTACTGAAATGACATTCCATGACCTTTAGATGTATAATCTTTAATCATCAGAATATAATTTAAAAAATAAAGGAAAATTGCAAAAATGTCAACGTTTGGTTCAAATTTTAGTATCTCCTCCCTTAATGTGATTGCCAAATGTTATGCCAACAGCATATTATCTTTTTGTCACTGGGAACAAGCTTCAGTCCCATTCTGTGTTTGAATAATGGAATTGCCATGAAAATTCAAGGAGTAAATCATAAAATGAGTTTCTTTGAATTTAAATGGCAGATTTCAGATTCTATGTTCTCTAGCAGGTTCATCCGAATTGTTGGTACCTATGTGCAAAACTACACAGTGATAGGTACCAGAAGACTGTAGTCTTTATAAGCAGTAGATATTAAATTATGAAAGAAGTAAATAAGTATCAAGGTTCCATCAAGTGCAACAATTTTGTATTTAAAAAGTTTCTAGTTGTTTTGGCCATTATTGGCCATTATCAGCAGGCAAAGCCAACACTATAAAGGAGACACTTTACATGTATGATAAACACATGTTGCATGTTATTTAAAAGGGATTTCCACCATTAGAAATCAAGAGAGATTATAATACTAGTGTAAATAAAGTATGTTAATTTATAGAATTAGTGACAATATCAATACAGTTAATTTAATGTTTAAAATTAAAAGTCTGGTGTGGCCATGTCTTCTTGCTATTGGTATATCAAACCTCTTGCATGGTTGGCCATATGTTCGTCTGTAGTATTTCATTTGTATGTTCCGAAGGGCTATGGTTGTCAGTGGGATGGGATGTAGTGAATATAATGAAATAAATAATGCAACTAAATAAATGTCTGAGTTATAAAATGAAATAGGAACCTAGGCATGTATGAATATCATGTGGGACATTGTTCACTGTTTGAGATATATTTGGTATGCACAATGTTTCAGCAATTAGTTCCACTCCAGTCTTCACTCACTGGTTGCCATTATACTGACAGATCTGTTATTATTTTCAGTTATCAGAAATGAATTCATTTCTCAAGTTTATTATATAGAAGCAATTAAGATGGCTGAGGGAGCCAAAATGTGTCTGCATGTGAAATTATGAAAAGTGTAGACATACAATTGGAAATAATAAGCTATTAAGAATGCCATCTTTTGGGATGTGGCGCCACGCAGATCTTGTGTGAACCGATGTTTCGGAGGAATGTATCGTCTCTGTCTTCTTGGTAGAAAAATCCGCAAGTGAGGAACCTGCACGAGCAGAATGCAGAATGCAGCCAAAATGTCGGTTCACACAAGAGCTAGATGGCGCCACATCCCAGAATAGAGCATTCTTCATAGTCATAGTGAAAACCTCAGCTCTTACATAATAAGCTATTAGCTTTAAAGACTCATTCATGACACAAGCAGTGACCCAAACCAATTTATCTAGGACTAAAGAACTGTACACTTCATATTATAACATTCTATTCAATCACCACATCATTTCTTTGGTTTACACTGCATAACTGCTCCAGACAATAAACATCAGACACTCAGAAACTTGTATTACATATGAAGACAGGTGCAATTATGTAATGAAATAATTGTACCTACTGGTGTGACATTGATTAGTGCAACAGAGAAAGATACTGTAGCTGCTCCTAGCGTAAATATCTCACGGGCAAAACGACGACCATGAAAGAAAGAGTGGAACTCGTCCATGAGGCCCGTGATGACACATTCCATTCCTCCCATCTGCAAAGAGAATGCACGCTCCATAGCACCAAAAGAAGGGGTATAGGTTAGTGAATACCTTCATGAAGATGAGAAACTTTTGTAATAAAACTGTGAACTGAATGTGTAATTATTTTGAGTTTAAACCTTTCACTCTTTTGTACATAAAGATTTCATGACATGGAAAGCATACATGCATACTTGGAACACTTCTGCCAAATATGCAGACTGCTATAACAGTGATATCTATTGTGAAAAATATGCCAACCCAAGTACTCATGTGCACGCACGCACACGTGCACACACACACAAATGACTATAAAGAAGGAAAGAAGTTAGATGTGACACAAATGTTCCAATTGTGATAATCAGAACATTAACTAATATGAAATAAAGCAACATATTCTTGAAAAGTACTATATTCTGTGATATAATTCTGGACTACATAGGAAGAAGAAGGGAAATGGAAGAGTGGACCTCAGTTCTCATTGGCTTGCCCGTGGGACAGTTTCCCCATCTTATCTTCCTAGACCAGCAAACTGCCCCTTTATAGAGCCAGCCTACATTCCTGTTCTTGTCTCCTGTTGGTTCACTTGGTGGTCATATGAGAGCCCAGCGGTTTCATTCTGTCCCATGGGCAAGTCAATGGGAACTGCGGCCTACTCTTCCATTTCTTTCCTGCTTCTTATATACTCCTGAATTCCAGCTAGGTAATTGCCCTCGCTGTGGGAGTAACCTGGTTGATTATATTGAAATAAGTGGAATACCTACTTAGAAAGACCAAGCCCTCCCCTCATCCATGTGGAGATTATGTTGAAAAAAAAAAGTAGAGATGAATAAATATATGATCATGGGGTCCGATACCACAAGTGACCATGCTGGCTGGTTTCTGGTAGCAGGCTTCTGCTCTGTTGTGTTCTGCTCTTCTCTTCTCAGCTACTCAGTTGCTTTGCCTGCCACCTGCTTTCACAGTGGATTCTTGCTTGGCTTATTCTTCAACCCTGACGATAAAGGCAATGTGTTCCTCCAAAAGGTCAGTTGATTTTCAGAGGACTACATGGCATTATATCCCAGAAGATAGTACTCTTCTTCAAGTCTACTACTACTACTACTACTACTACTACTACTACTACTACTACTACTAATAATAATAATAATAATAATAATAATAATACAGTAATTTTGGATATGGGAAAAAACTCTCAAATGATATCAAAATCAATCATGGAGTACGCCAAGTCTGTAGTCTGTCCCTAACTATCATTAATATTTATTTCAAAGATGTCATGCAAGAACAGAAGACTAGAAGCAACCCAGGGATGTGGTTATGGGAACTGGTTGCCCTGAATACATTACTGCTTGGAGAGGACAAAATCATAATTAAATAGAGTGAAGATGAACTGTAAAGATCTGTATTTCACCTAAATTATACATACAAAAGCTACAATAAATAAAGTACCCAGTCTGTACAAAAATTGCAATAGGAAACGAAACTCTCAATCAGATCAATCACTTCAAATATGTAGGGTATAATGTACAAAAATTCCGTGTGTGGCACTATGAGGTGAAAACTTACTTAAAGAGAAAACCTGTAAAGATAAATACGTAGGTCATATCGAAATTCATGAGCAACTTTTTTACATGCAACCTGGGAACGGCAGACGAAACAGAGTATGGTGGTGGGTGGAACCAGCTGTTGTGTTAACCTTGAGTGTCTTGTGATGTCAATAGCTTTCATCACGTGACCAGTATCACTCCTAACAAAATGGCTGACAAAGATATGTCGTTTCGCCAGCATGCTGTCATCGAATTTCTTGTGAAAGAGAAAATCCCTGCTGCAGAAATTCACCAGAGACTTCAGCATGCTTATGGAAGTGTGTGCATGGGTGCGAGCAGTGTTCGAAGATGGGTGAAACATTTTAAAGATGGGAACACCAGCATCGAAGATGAGCCTCGGAGCTGCTGTCCTCGAACAGCCTCAACTGAACACAATAAGGAAAGAGTGGATGGGATCATTCAAGATGACAGGCGTGTGACTGTGGACACAATAGCCCTAAAACTTGGAATAGGGCACAGTGCAGTACAGGAGATGATTTAAAGCTTGGGCTATAGGAAAGTTTGTGCTCATTGGGTCGCGCGGTTATTGACCAAAGACCACAGAGGTCAGCGAAAAGCCATCACCTCAGAACTGCTGCAGAGATATCGACATGAAGGCGATAATTTTTTGCCCTTTATTGTGACAGGTGACGAAAGCTGGTTTCACCATTTCGAGCCTGAAACGAAATGGCAGAGTATGGAATGGCACCATTTGCATTTTCCATCTAAAGAGAAGGCAAAGACAGTGCCATCAGCTGCGAAGGTGATGGGCACAGTCTTCTGGTATGCAGAGGGGTTTATTCTGGCCAAATTCCCGGAACCTGGGCAAACCATCAATGCTGCTCGTTATGTCCAGACGCTGCACAAGCTCCGTCATGCATTGCGTGATAAACGTCCAGCACGAAACATCATCATCCTGCATGATGCTGCCCGCCTCACATTGGAAGCAATTGCAAAGATGGGGTGGGAAGTTCTTCCACACCCCTCCTATAGCCCTGATCTGGCACCCTCCGACTACCATCTTTTCGGATTTGTGAAGGATCAGTTGTGTGGACAACGTTTTGAGACAAGGGAGGCAATTCAGAAAGCAGTGCGTCAGTGTCTTCGGATGGCTGGAACGGAATTTTACAGAAGGGGGGAATTTTCAAGCTCCCAGAACGCTGGGAGAAATGTGTACAAAGAAGTGGCGATTATGTGGAAAAATAAATAAAGATCTGTAGATTTACAAAAAATTGTTTCTCATGACTTTCAGTACAACCCTCGTAGATAAAATTTGACCAAGTTATGGCCGTTCCTACCCTGCTATATGTAAGCAAATGCTGGACAGTAAGAGCAAGAAAGATACAAAAGTTATAAATAGCAGAAATGTGATTCGTAAAATGTGTAAAGGGATGTACAGGATTGGGTGGAATTAAGAATGAATGCATAAGAAAAGAATTAGGAATGTTCTCAGTGAATGACAGAATAAAAATACAGACAAACTTAGATTGAACAGGTGGATAGGATATAAGAAAGTTGAATGCTGAAACAGGCTCTTTGGTATAGGCCGAAAGGAAGAAGGTATCCTGATAGACCATGCAGAAGGTGGAATTCATAGACACTGGAACAGGTCATTGGTTTAATCCTTGAATTGGGAAACAAGAAGGCGGTTCTTTATATCTCAAAATATATTTTTGGCCATTGTCTTACCTAAAATATGCCATAATGAGAACATATAAGCACAAGAATTTATGTGAAGTGTAGTACTTTACAAGCGGTAGCACATCTAGAATTTTAAATTTGGGGGCATGATTTGGCAAGATGTGGAAGGATTTGTGAGAAGATGTATAGAGTCTACTTTCTCATTGCACAGATCTTTAGTCATACAGATTTAATACTATTAATATTGTTATGTTATTTTATTTGCATGAAGAACATTGTACTTAAATACAAATTCTGTATAGTGTGACGTATTTGCGCTGTGCAGGATGTCCCCTCTCCCGCCAGCGGTGGCATAACAGCGCTGCCGCTGCTACGGTGACGGGCCAGTCAACACTCCGTCCCCTCCCCCGCGGTGACGTAGCAGGGGATGCCGCGGTTGCTATACAACAGTAAACAACTCTCGACGGCGTTGCCCAGCAACACCTGTAAACACGGCGACTAGGCAACAAGGGAGCAAGGCGTTTTCCCAATGTCTGGCTGAGGGTTTATAAGAGATCCACACTGCCTAAGGAGTCAGTCCCCCGTGTGGAGGCGGGATCAAATACCTCCACCGTGACCCTGCGAGTCTAGGAGGTGACGAAAAGGGAAGTCTCAAATCTGAGACAGTAAAACATGGTCCTGAGTCCCAAGAGACTCAGACCCAAGAAAAACCGCGCTGGCAAGGACCAGCAGCATATACAAAGGACAGACCCATCCTCTCGTCAGAGAGGGCGCCCCACAGAAATAAGACCATAACTGTCAAACAGTAATAAATATCTGGTCATAAGCCCCAGGAGGGTACTCGATGCCAAGACTTACTGACTGGCGGGCTGTCAGTCGCTATGTGACTTGGACTTGGACTAAGGAGTCAGTTAAAATGCAGCAGCCGCCGAAGGCAGTTGGAATATAGCAGCAGTCGCGGAAAGAAGAACCAAACGCGTTGTTAGAAGATCTTATGCGATAGTGCGCAATAACTGAGAAGTCAGCCAATGAAGAATTATTGTGTGACTTAAAGGCTGTGTGTGCTGTAGTACAGTTATATTGGGAGTGTGTAATTAAGAGGACTTGTATACCTTCTGAGTTATAAATATGTGAAGACTACTCAAGACAGAGTGAGTAGGGTTTGTAAAGTGTGTAAACCCGCAACATTGTCATAATTAATTGTAGCTACGATTTGTAGGTTGTTAAATAAACCAATTAACAATCCGAACGGCGTCTTCAGTAGAAAAACACGTTACAATATGTTAAATCTGTCAGATATAACTTCAGAGTTTACAACAATGTCATGTTTGTAGTTGTTAACTTACAAACAATATTATATATGTAAAATGTAATGTGCTTATGACCCTTCTGGGTATCATATTTCACAGGCTTCGCTCCAGTAATTAATTATGACCATGGCGTTATTTTAGGTTCTCCAGGAAAATTACCATAAGAGGAGTTACTGTTGGATTGGTAATCATATCATCATCATAAGTTGGCATCATTTATGCTTATTGTTTTTTTTTTATACATCCGTTTCCACTCTCTAATAAATGGAAGACTCGTGAAAGCACTATGTTCCACACACAGACAGTGTATCTTAATTCATCCACCTTTCCTGACATTATTTCATCAGGTTATGGGCCCAGGACATTTTGAACTGTGTGTGTGTATAACAGAAAGATTTGTAATCTGCTGGTGGGTCGTACTTCTTATTGCCTATGTGTTGTGAGGACATTGCCAACAATGTCAAATGACGAAGC